TCGCCGTCACGGCCTTGGCTGGGCTTGCTGTGGTGGTGGCCGTGTTCTGCACTGCCACTAGGTAAAAAAGCTTTGAACTTTTTTCAAAAACAAACCCTAGAAGAAGAAGAACAGACAGTATATTATTGATTTAACGAAAAAGAACAAAAATTACTCATAGATGAGAGCTCTACGACGAAGTCACACTTCGTCGCCTTCGAGTTCAAATTCCTCTCCTTCTTCATCTTCGTCGTCGTCGTCTTCGTGGATTCATTTGCGTTCGGTTCTATTAGTCGTGTCCTCTTCCTCACCAGCTCATTGTTCTTCCTCTGATCGGTGAGTCTCTCTCTTTAACCCTCTAAAGCTTTTGTTTCGTTTTGCGGCTCTTAGATCCCGATCTTGGGAAACTTCAAGTTCATGTTTTAAATACCAATTTTAGCTCAATCTTAGTGTTTTAGTGGGGTTTTCACTTCCATCGCTCTTCTGTGTCACCTTCTTCACTCACATTTTGTTGCCTTTTTCAATCAATTATATTTTAATTTTCACTTCATGTTACTTGATTTGTTTATTTAATTTTTTTTTTTCAACTCTTGGGCTCTGGTTGCTTCCTTGGGAGTTGTTCCTCTTTCATTTTCTTTTAGCCATTTCTTAAGTTCGATTTTGTAAAAAAGTTCTGGGTTCGATAGCTGCAAGTCGTAAATGGGATGATTTCATATGAGTATGGGGTTGCTTCTAGAAGATTTCTGTTGTTTTTGGCTCAGGGACATGGTTTCTAATCAAGTTGGATTTTTATGTTTTAATTAGATAAATGTGGGGAGGTTGTGTTTTTCTGCTGCCAATGGGAAACAATGCAGTGGCTTAATGAGTCAGACATGATAAACCTGATTCTAGTTCTAATTTACCTTTTGACTAGTGTTCTCAACAGCTAGGGGGGTTTAAAGTGTTTTGGGAATTCTAAGTCAATCTATTTAACTGCAATGTTATTGTGATTATCAGTATTTTGATGATTCCTTATTGATGGCCTTCTGTCTAGTCCTGCTGCATAGGCACGGTGTTTAAAGAAAAGATAGTGTGTATCTATTAATGTACATCCAAAGTTAATGGAAAGTAATTTGCTCTAACAAGCTCATTTTCTCAGATATTAAACTTTAATTGCATGCTTATGTTGAATGTCCTGAGTTTTAAAATGATCTAATTTCTTTTTCACTTATGCAAGAATGTTTTTTGCATGAAAGTGTCAACCTTACAAAATGCTTTGCAAAGTCCACTTCTTTATGCTATGCTAGCCTTTCATTCATACACGGACGCATTGTATCTTCAATTTTTTAATTTTGTTGTGTGATTGTTGGCTACCTGTATTAAATCAATATAGGTGGTGGCTTCAAAAATTGACCATTATTGATCTTGGTTACTCTTTTTAATATCAGGACTCGTCTTAAGTCACCTTGGTCCCGCCGGAAAAGAAAACATGCCCTTGCAGCTCATCACTGGAGAAGTTTCTTTACACCAGATGGAAGGCTTCGCGATGGTGGAGTTAAGTTGGTGAAAAAAGTTCGCAGTGGAGTGAGTTACTATCGCATTTGTCCTATATGTTTGCTTCTCAAAATGCTATCAGATCTATTGTTCAAGTATTTATCACCTTCATTCAGATTATTTATCTTAAAAGTTTCTGAATGTAGGGAGTTGATCCAAGTATTAGGGCAGAGGTTTGGCCATTCCTCCTTGGAGTGTAAGCATGCTCAACACCCACTTAAAATTTTTTAACAACTATAACCATACTACATTACTACATTGCATTTCTGAGATTGCTTGTTGTTTGATATTTTAGCTTCACCATCTGGTACTTTGGTATGGCATACCTAGGAGAGGATTGGATGGGCTTTCCCTCCTAGGATCTGAGTGATTGCTTGTAGACATGTTATTTATCTTCAAATCAAGCATGCTGACTGATTGTGACTGTATGACGAGTCAGTTCTGTGTTAGAGGGCTTTACTTCGGTCTGGCCTTTATCATTTCTATGTACGTACACTAAGTAGTGTAACTTCTTTGAAGTTCAAACAACTTGTGTTGGGTATTTTTTTTCTTTCTTCATATCAGATTTTTAATGTGATTCCTTCTAGTTTTGGAAATAAAATTTGCTAGCGGAACTTGATCAAAATTGTACTTTCTTTATTTTTATTTTTTATAACTCTGATTATATGTCTAATATTTCCGTTATTGCATTATCATATGACCTACTGCTTCGTGTGTTGCACATAAATTGTAATGTTGTTTCATTTTTCTCAAATTTATACCTAAATTGTATTTGGGAAGAGGCCAAACCATACTTACCTATGTTGACTGGATTTCTCTATCTCAACAGCTATGATTTAAACAGTTCGAAAGAAGAACGGGATATAGTAAGATCTCAGAAAAGGTATTAGTGCCAAGTTCACTTAAATGCTTCCTATTACTATGGTGCATAAGTTGACTGCAAGTTTTCGCCAGTTGATGTAATTCTTTGTTTCTACTCCGTTGGCCTTTCTAACTTCATGGTATGTTTGTTCCAATATTTGGTTTCAGAAAGGAATATGAGAAACTCCGCAGACAGTGCCGCCGACTCATAAAGCGCATAAATGAGAGCTCTAAGTTGAATGGGGACAGTTGTAGTTTCACCCAGGATACAGATTCTCCCAGCTCTGAGGATGTGGTTAGTGCCAGGGACTCCCTTTCTAGTGAAGAAAGGATCCCAGATGTTGAATACTCAGATGACCCTTCCAGTGCATTGTTGGATGGAGATGATAGTTCAAGACGAAACACAAATGCTGATGCCAAAGTACTAAATTCAGACTCATCTGATTCAGACAGCTCTGAAGAACCTGAGGTGATTCAGACTTTCCCCTCAGGTGAAGGAAGGGAAGATAATGATCCTGATATGAGTTCCAAGGATGAATCTTCTCCCTCGAGAACAGAAGTCCAATCAAAGTTAAGCAGTGAGGATTTTGCCACATGGCAGCGGATCATACGCCTTGATGCTGTACGAACTAATTCAGACTGGATTCCGTACTCCTCATCTCAAGCTGAAGTTTCACAGGATAGAGCATGGCGTTCTGCTGAGGCTGTTGGGTTGAAGGATTACGATCACCTGGAGCCTTGTAGAATTTTCCATGCTGCTCGACTGGTTGCTATTCTTGAAGCGTATGCACTCTATGACCCAGAAATTGGTTATTGCCAGGGTATGAGTGATCTACTTTCTCCTATAACTGCTGTAATGACAGAGGATCATGAGGCATTCTGGTGTTTTGTGGGTTTCATGAAGAAGGCTCGACATAATTTTAGGCTTGACGAGGTGGGGATTCGAAGGCAGTTGAGTATTGTTTCTAAAATTATTAAATGCAAGGATTCCCACCTATACAGGCACTTGGAGAAGCTCCAGGCAGAGGATTGCTTTTTTGTTTATCGGATGGTGGTTGTGCTATTTAGGAGGGAATTGACATTTGAACAGACAATATGCCTATGGGAGGTAATGTGGGCTGATCAAGCGGCCATAAGGGCCGGGATCGGAAAATCTGCATGGAGCAGGATAAGGCAACGAGCCCCGCCCACAGATGACTTGTTACTTTATGCAATTGCAGCTTCAGTTTTGCAGAAGAGGAAACTGATAATAGAGAAGTATAGCAGCATGGACGAGATTATCAGGGAGTGCAATAGCATGTCTGGGCAACTTGATATATGGAAGCTCCTTGATGATGCACATTACTTGGTAGTAAACCTCCATGACAAGATAGAGCCATCCTTCTGATGACTGCATGTTTTGCTAGCTAGTTTATTGTTATCAAATCCGGTTCTATGAGGGCAGCCAAAGTCCCAATTTCTTTTTCATTCCTGTTAAGCAAGCATTCCAGAAGCTTAATCCAATCATTCGTGATACTCAATTTTGCCACTCTGCCTACGTACTCTAGTGTAGGTGGCAAACATTCAAAAGACATTGTTATCTACATTAGATTCATTTGCATTGTATTCTACCATTCTACTGCTTTGTACGTGATTTTCTTAGACGTCACAGTTTTCACGTAAAACGACTGCATTAGTATTACGTACCATACTGGATGAGGAATACATCAAGCATTCTCATGCTGCTAAATTAATATCATACTTTTTTTTCCTTGTTTCCATGGCAGCCATAAGTTTTAGCCCAAGGAACCAATACATTGTTCGAACAAAGATGAATATCTTTTTTTTTCCTATTTTTCCTGTTTTCATGCAGGACAACACAAAAAACGCAATTGAAACAACTACAACTACCATAGACCAGCAACAAGTTATAAAGAGGATTGCAGAAACGAGAGAGTCAAAGAAAATATCGTACAGACACTAGAAAGCGACCAGAACCAAAAAGACACTATAAAGTTCTCTGATGAACAACGACATAAGTGAAACAAGCAATTGTACTTTCAACTGCTCAACTGAGGACCAATAACTAACCCTTAAATGGGGGCAACGTAGAAAGCAAGACTACTCTTTCTTGGTATAGTGACGGACAGCAAAGGCTAAACCCAAGATTAGAAGGGGAACCAGGAACTGCAAAATCTTAATCACAAATTCGGATATCTTATCAGGATTGTACCGAGCCTGAGGCGGTGGAATGTAAGTCCGTTTTAATGGGACAGTTGATGGATCAACCTCTCCAATGTAATACTTCTCCATCATATCTCTGGCAGAATCACTGTGACCCACATCTTCAAAATCATTTGTTGCATCTTTACCTACAGAGTTATCAAACAAAATTAATCCCATCAACCATGCAAACTTTTAAGGTTGAGAAAAAGGCAAGCATACAAGGTAAGCTAACTGAATGCCTTACCAGTTGCAGACAGCAGAACTTCATCACCCCCAGGATGATCATCCATGAATGGTGTCACATCAAACACCTAAAATTAATATTCCAAATCATAAAAATTCAGCCATGTTATATATCCATAAAAATTCTGGTGCAATTAGCATACAATCGTCAGCTGAAAATTGTTGCTTTTAAGTTGAGATACATAACACCCTAAAAACGCAGGCGAGCACAATTACAATCATTTGGTTGGTTCCATCCCTTAGAAATTCTACAGATAACAACCGTTTCTTCCCAACAGAGTAGTAATAACATTGACATTGCAGAAACATAAAAGTCAATTTCTTCAGGGTTGAGGGTTCTTTCATATTCCTCGGTTTTATCAGCAACCAACCAAACAGAGTAGTAATTAATCAACTGGGAACTAAGTTTTATAAGATGAGAAACAAAAATCCAATCAAGAAAGATCTCACCTTCCCAGAAATAACAAGCCAGCAATCTTTGGTCTTGTTGTGCTTCGCCACCTCTTCAAATATGTGAACCTTTGGATCTGAAGCCATTTTCACTGCTACCAAACACAAAGCATCAAACGCTAAATCCCACAAAAATTTATACACCAAAGCCTAGAACTTTATTGCTAAAACATAAGCAGCTTCTACAATCACAGATAAAAATTACAATTTTAGTAAAAAACCCATATAAGGTTTAAGCACAACATCTTGATACTTATAACAAATAAGGGATGCAGATGGTCATAAAAGAGAAATTCCCAATTACGGCCAAACAAAGATGAAGACCGTGGCTTACCCACGACAGAGAAGGCTTCGCCAGATAAAAGATTGTGCCGTGCGTCCTTCCTCTTTGTACTCAGTCTGAGAAGTCAGCGATGCTTAAGTGGGCCATTTATGTTACAAGATCTTGAGCAATTTAAAGCCCTTAGCCTTTGTTGAAATTACGCACTTATCCTAAGCCTTGCTAATTGAAAGGTTTTAACCCTCAAGGGTATATGTGTCTCAAAGCTACGAATTGCACGCGTTACCGGTTCGCATTTGGCAACCAAGAGAAGCAAATTTTGAAACGTTTTGTTTTTTTGGATCAATTTTAATGCCGTAGTTATGTACTTTATGAACGACGTCCAAAAATATAATTTACCCATTTACTTTTCGGAGCTTTATTTGTAGTCGGAGTTTACTATTGTGATAGGTTTGGTGTGGGGTTAAATGGCTGCCCACGTCCCAAAAAGCAACAACGTAATGATAGGAACCTGCTGACTCATCAGCTGACTTGGCAATTCTGTTAGGTAGTTGGTTAGCTGAGATAATCCTTAGTTTGTACTAAACTAGAATAGTTGATTAATTGTGTATTGGCAGGTTTATTTTGATTGTATTAGTTTGCTCTTAATAATAAAAGGTTCATTCTTTCTGTATATGATATGAGCTGAGGTAGAATTGAGGAGTCGTGTTTGCGAGGGTGTCATACATAATTCATCTTAATAGTAACTTCACTTTAATAAAATGATCATATGACTAATATGAAGGTTTACGTGAGAGATTCATATATGGCACCCTAATTATAGAATTTCGCCAGAATTGAGTTCTATCAAAGTGAAGGGCTCTTGACCAAAAAAAAAAAAAAAAATCAAAGTGAAGGGCTGGACCTGGAAACAACAGCCCTGGGCCGCGCAATGGCAATGAGGTCAATCCATCATGTAAGGCCCAACAGTAGAAGAGGGAAGAACAAAAAACACGAGCAACCCAAGTCCACGTCTTAAATCAAATGGTGAAATATAACAGGTTTGATTTGGATTAGTTTATACAAATTGTTTTGTATCCTATACCTACAAGCTGGCTGTTACGGTCAAAGTTGTCAAATTGGTTATGTGAGGTGCTTTCTGTAGAATAATTTCTCACTAAGAAGGTTTGTTATTTGGTTGCTGGTGTCGTAACTTGGGCTGGCTGGACTCAAGTTGTGATGCTAAAATGTTGGATGAAGAGGGCCCGAGTTGGGTTACCTCTTTGATCCAAGCTGATCCATCAATGTCAATGTGGGTCTACTCTGCTACAATTTATTTTAAAGCAAGCAGTGGAAAGTCAAGTCAATGTGGAAAATATGGAAGTGGGGGTTGAGAACTCTTCCTGCCTACCCCTACCGCATGCCATCACAAGTTGAAGTTGAACCGAAGTTAGGCCTGCCTGCAGAAGGTTCTTAATACCATGCAGAAAACAAGATCAAATTGTTGACGCACGACACAAGGACAAGGGTGGTCCAAAAACAAGGGGGCTTGTATTTCGTATTTGATCGATTGTCCTGTTTCAATTTTCATTCATAAATGGATTTCTGCCCTGCTCTGCTCTGAAATTCATCAGAATCATTCAATTATATCCGTGTTCATCTTTTACAAGCAGAACCTTGATCCTAGCTACTCACAAACCGCTTCATTCAACATACTTGGTCTGGTCAAGCCATTTACTTCCATACCACAATATCCTAGGCGTTGAAATGATAGGAATAGGACCACTGTCCATTATATGGGGGTCCATCTTAATCTTCATCTTCACAGCATTCTTAAACCATGCACATTCACTTCATTTCATCAATGACGTGAAATATCTTAAATCCCAACCTTATCGTTTTAATTGGCAGTGGCACAAAGACAAAGGATAGCTTAAGCAAGAGACAATCAAACTAAAACCATACTTATTTACACAAAACCAACAGTCAATCCAACAACATTATGCTCAAATCGAATTGCTATGTTTACAGTGGTTTTAAAATCATATGATTCATTTGACTAAATGTTATGTGATACAACTTGCTTGTATAGGATACAGAATCCTACCATCTAGTCATCTACTATGCTGCATTATGATCTGATGTATTACTTGAAAATAGATAGCAGGGAACTTCTATATTGTCCCTAATTCCCAATACTTTTCTGAAATTACATCGGCAGATTACTATTACTGTAACTCTACTAATGAACACAACTACATTTCTCTCCTTCCACACAAACTCTACTTGGTTGCGAGGAAGTTCATACAGATGGGAGGACGAATATTGGCCAACGCAAGAATTGATGAAGGGAGGATCCACAACCCATCTCCACAGATCAAACCAGAAGCAACTGCGGGAACCATTAACCCTGCCTCGTTATTTTTTAGTTTGTGCCACACGAACACAGCCAAACTCCCCACACACATATCGATTGCAAAGTAAGCTCCAACTAGGAAAGGAACAGCCATCGCCATCGGAAGTGGAACCCATTTACCAATTTTCTTAGGAGCAAGATCTCTCAGCAAATTAGCTGCTACGGCAAATGCAAAAAAACCATAACACAGCTGTAAGCAATGCTGGGGCAGGGCAGAGAAGCCTTGAACACCTAGAATTGCCATGTTTCTGTAAATGATGGCATAAGGAGCTTTGTATTCACCATCCGGGTCCCCAACATTAAAAGCCTTGTAGAAGAGAAAGAATGTCAGAGGAGCCACCACACAGCCTATAGCTGTCCCAATCGCCTGACTTAAAAGCATTGATCGAGGAGATGTAAGCGTGAGATGACCAGTCTTTAAATCGTGCATCAGATCAGAAGAGATAGAAACTATGGATTTGATCAGACCACATCCCACAAGTCCTGCAACAACACCATCATTTTTCCCAGCCACAGCAGCAAGCACAAAGAGAGCCACTTTCCCGTAGTTATAGGCCATGTTCATGTCAGTTAAACCCGCACCATAAGCATTGCAGAAGCTTAGAGAGGGTGCAATAATATAGGCTACGACTACATAGTACCATTTCAGTTGAGGGAACATGAGCGGGATAATTATGATGGAGATGATGGAGAACAAAGTGTACCCTAGGCATGCTACCCAAATGGGAATGCTATCTCTTATGAAGACCTCATTTCGTCGAAGATCATCAAGAGCCTGATTCTGGTTATTTGAAACTGCACGAGAGAGATGATTTAGTTTACTCAACTTAAATGCTTGATAATTACGGGCACTGACACCCATTGCAGGATGCAACATACAAATTATGTTACAAACTCATAGCACCTGAAGGTGCAGCTCCTTTTAAACCATAAGAGAAGGGAAGCTCTAAGAGGTGCTCATGGTAAACTGGCTATATGCTAAGCTAGAGAATCATCACGAATATCATGCAAAGTCACCCATTACCTGTTTTGGGGTTCTTCTTGTTCATTTTGGTGTGGATGCTTGAGCCAGTAAAGTATAGTATCTTGAGAAAATTGTATAGCCCATCTCCTAG